GCTTCTCAAAGTGGCCCAGCACCCTGTTGGATAGGGACCGGGGAATGGAGAGATGTAGGAGGTCAGGTCAGCCCCAGCTCTGCAGCCCCCTGCCTGCACCCTGACACTGACCGGACGTTCTTGAGCATGTAGAGCACCTCGGAGGGCAGGTGGGAGTTGGCCAGGTCGCCCTCGGTCAGGTCAGCCTCCAGCACCGCAGGCGGGGGCTCCTTCCGCTGCAGCGTTGGCGCCTCTTTTTGGATGCGCAGGATCCTGGTGGGAGGAGGGGGGAGCGAGGGGGGGTGAAAAGCAGGGAGGGGGCTCAGGAAGACCTGAGACCCCCCACAGAGCCCTTCCCTGGGGTCACCAGAGCAGGGCTCAGCAAACTCTGGCCCGCTGGCCAAATTAAGCCAGCCACCTCCTTTTGTAAATAAAGCTTTATTAGCACGAGCTATTAATACATTCGTTCATTTACATATTGTCTGAGGCTACTTTAATGCTACAACAGCAGAGTCGAGTCGTTGCAGCAGCGCTGAGTGCAGCCTGCAAAGCCCCAGGTGTGGCCGAAAAAAGAGAAAAGTTGCTGACCCCTGAAATAAAACCCTGAGGTCACCCTTCACTAGTCACAGGCTCCCTAGATGAACCTTCTCATTAAGCAGACCCCTGACACACAGCTTCCAAGATATGGGCAGACCCCAGAAAAGCACCTCTGTTCATCATGGGACCACACATATTGCACGCCTCCATCATGTAGCCTCCGTCATGTAGGCAGAGCCCTGGGGTAGCTTCCATTATATCAGGAGACCCCTGATCCTTGTAAAAATCCCTGAGATAACCCTTCCTCCCCAGTCTCAGACAACCCTGAGATAGCCTCTCTGATGGTCACAGAGACTCTTGAGATAGCCCTGGTTACGTGCAGAGAATCCAGATACAGCCCCTCTGCTAACCATGGACCTAGGAGAGCTCCTCCCTGGAAGTCACAGTTGCTAGTGAAGACAGTCCTTCCACTACTCACAAAATGCTCAAGATAGACCCTCTAGAATGACCTTAAACTGAGTTAAACTCCACATTACAGAGAAATCCAGAAACAGCTCCTCTTCTGATCAGGAAGATCCTTGGGCTAGCCCTCGCCCAGGTCACAGAGAGCTGAGATAGCTCTCTCAAGGCCATGGCAACATCAGGGTAGCTCCTCAAGGGTGTGCAGACACTGGAACCACTCCGAGGAGGTGGACAGACCCTCAACTAATTGCGGAAGATCTAGAGATAGCCCTTCTACTCAAGTCACAGAAAGCCATGGGATAGCACACCTGTTGACCATGGACACCCCTGGAATGGCCCCTCAGTGTGAAGAAACACTTGAGACGGACCTTCAAAATAGAGTCTGTGATGTCACGAGACCCCAGAGCCAGCTCCCAACTTGGAAAGATCCCTGAGAAAGCCTTTCTCAGAGACCCTGAGGGAGCCCTTTGCTGATGACATGCCCTGACATGCCCTTCCCGTGTCTCTAGTGCCAAAAGATTCTTGAGATGACTCCTAGGGAACAGAACCCCCTAACACAGCCTCCGTGTAGTTTGGGGAAAATCCAAGGGAGGTGACATAGAGAGATGCTTTCTGATGCAGAGAGATTGCTGAGACAACGCCTAGGGAACAAAAGCCAGAGACAGCCCCTCCTGCAGGTCCCAGAGAGACCTGCGATAACTCCAGTAAGACTCCGGAATAAACCCTCTCGTGTGGGGAGACCCCAGATTTGACCCCTAAGGGTATGACAAGACATCCGAGATAGTGCCTGGGGATTAAATAACTCACGGATTCCCCTGTGGCAGAGAACATCACTGAGAGAGCCTTCAGATGATACAGACAGCCTGTCTGGTGGGGGAGAGCTCTGAAACAGTCCCACTGACATAGCAAGACTCCTAAGACAGTCCGTGGGGTTCAAAGAAGCCCGAGATGCACCCTTCGGTGTGGGATGATCACTCAAAAAGCCCTGGACAGCCCCCAAGTACACCTAGCACAGCCTTACTTCTTAGCAATGTTGAGCATCTTAAGTTTCTTCTTCATGCGTGGCCGGGAAGTGGTGGAGACGGAGGCGTCCACCAGCGAAGAAGTGGATTGTGATACCTGGGAGGATTAAGGGTGGGGTGGGGTGGGAGGAATGCGTCAACTGCCAGGTCAGACCCTAGGGAAGAGGGGGGCAGATCCAGAGGCCCTTGATCAAGGAGGGCGGCCGGCTTACTAAGAAGTATAATTAGGGAAAGGGCAGGATCTCTGTGTGGCCAGTGGGAGCCCCAGGGGGTCCCAGACTCACCTTCCGCATAATCTTCCGGCCATAGAAAAGCACTTTATCTCTCTTCCGGAATCGATACCGCGGGCCATCCGGGGCTGGGGTTTCTGGGGATAAGTGCGGAGACGGGCAATCTGACCTCTACGCACACTCCGCACGGCCAGAGATGGGGACGCTGCGTGCAGGCTCCAGCAAATCCCATCTCTACTGCCTCAGGGGCCCGGACATTTCAGCTTCCCATCCCTCAGCACCCCCAGAAGGCCCTCCGGGTCCTCACTCGGCACTCGAAGCCTCCGCACCAGCAGGAGGATGAGCACGGCCGTGACCAGCACCGCGACTCCAGCCCCGATCATCACGCCCAGCACCTGCGGGACGAACGGCACTGGCTGCGCATCGCATACCCGCTCCGCCAAGCCTTCCCCGGGGGCCGGGACGCCCGGGACCTCACCCCACGGAGCCAAGGCCGCCCCCGAGATCGCAGTCGGCCCGGGCCTCGACGCCCCCATCTGCAAAATGGGCCAGCGCTGCTCCCTCCCTTGGGGAGCAACGCTTTCTGGAGGCTCGGCGGCCCGCAGTGCACACCGGGAAACGTAGTTCCGCCTGAACAGACGCAGACTGGTTCTCGCGGGGCCGCGATAATGCGTGCTGAGCACGTCGGGAATTGTAGTCCCCACGGCGCCACACAAGCCCCCAACCCTTACCATTCCGGTTTGCAGCGGCGCCTCCATCAGTTGTTTCAGGATGGGCGGCAGGTCTGGTAGTTCAGACTCCTGGGGAGTAAGAAGCAGGACGAACCCGGGCAAGTCATCACTCTGGGCCCGCCCCTCCCCTGCTGCAAGCCCTGCCCGCTTCGTACCCACTGCCGGGGAGGATTCTCCGCAGGCCTGTGGGCGAATGAAGGGGCGCTGCGGAGCAGAGGGGTGGGGCAAATTGACCTCGGGGCCCGAGCTAGGGAGTAAGGTGGGTCCCCGGGTCCCCACCAGGCTCCCCTTACCTACGCACCAGGCCGACCTGATGCCCCACTTATCCAGACCCACCCTGGGGCCAAAGGGCAGCCGGCCGGGCACCCACTGTTAGCAGCCAGCGAACAAGTCCCTGAAGGGGCACGGCTCTCTCCAGCAGGTGGCCCCCTCCCCAGTCTCTGCAAGATTGATCAATCCTGATCTACCGATCCCTAGGTCGCACCCCAGCACCCCCTGCGAAGACTGGATGCCCGCACCCCAAGAAAACTGGGCCCGAGTCATGGGGCCGGGGAGACGCCTGGCTCCCGGCCCAAGCCTGGCCCCGGGGAGACAGAGACTGGGGCACGCAGAGTGCAGCCGGGAGCTCCTTCACAAGGGGTCGTGGTGCAATGCCGAGGTCTCAGTAGCATCCTGGGACGCTCAAAGTGGGGTGGGCTCGCAAAGTGTTACTGGGTGATGCTGGAGATTTACTGTCACGTAATAGTAAAGTTATGGGGTCTCTGATGGTGCGGAGCACCACTGGGACTCCAGGAACGATGCTGGCGCCATTGCTGGGAGACGTAACCAGGGACGCTGGAATTACGGGTGGGTGGGTGGGGGCGCACTAGGAAGTTACCGAGAGATTCTGAGGACTATAGGACTATTACCGGGAAAACCGGGAGCTGGTTGGGCACGTCCCTGCAGTCGTCCGAGGATGATACTGAGGAATGCTGGAATATTACTGAGACTTTTCTGGGAGGCTGAGGCTGTTTCTGGCGCCATTCGAGTATTAATGGAAATCTGGGGGAGTCACTGGGTCCTTGAGACATTACCTGTAAAATTCACGGGGGACTAGTCCCCTTCCTCCCGAGGGTGCACTTGGCTACCGGTGCGAAAACACCTGCCGGAGGCTGGGGGGGTGGGGGGTATGGGAGAGTCAGAAAGTCGAGAGCCAGAAAGTCGAGAGCTACCGGGAATCGGCGGAAGACACACCTTGGGAAAGCCGAGGGCTCGCTAACAACCCGCGAAGGGACGGGGCGAGGAAAACCCGGACTCACCCAAAGGGCCGCAGCCGGGGTCCACTCTGCGCCAACTCCGTTAGCGTTCTGCCCAGCGCCGCAGGCGCGGCCCCTTTAAGTTATTCACATCAGGGTGCGCCACAGCCCCGCCCCCCGCCATGCTTGGAAGGTCGCGCGGAGCCAGCCACACTGAGTGTGGCGACGCTTTAAAGGGACCGGAGACCAGTTGGCGTAGGGAATACCCCTCTCACTAGAAACGACAGCAAGTTAATTTTCCCCTTTATTTACCACCCACTCTAACCCTCCCTGTTCCACTCCAATGTCCGACTCGACTAGCCCAGGCCCTCACAGGGCGCGACAAGGAGCCGGTCCTTAAAAAGCGAAGGCTAAAATAAATAAGCATGGGTCTCCGCAGTCCGGGGGCTAATGTCCTATGACGGTCCGGGTCCGAGTCAATTCACCAGCAATGAATGCTCCTCCGAAGCGTCCCTGGAGGAGGGTCGGTGTCAGCGGGGGCGGAAGGCATCAGTGCCCTCAGGCCCGCTTCCCTTCCCCACAGCCAATCCCAAACAATCCCAACCCCAACCCACCCCGGCCTCCAACCTGCCGCAGCAGCAGAGGAGGCTGCAGGCGGAGCCGCTCCCACGGCGGAATTTGCCGGAGGTGGGGCTGTCCTGGCACTGCGCGATGTAGGCCTGGAGTTCGCTCTCCTCTCGGCCCGCTCCGCCCGGATGCTGCGGAGAGATGCCCGGCGGCCCGGCATGAAAGTGGCCTCTGCCTTCCGAGGCCCTAGAGATGCGCCCTCCCCTCCCCCTCCTCTGCCCTTCTCTCCAGTCATCTGGATCTTCTCACCGGTCCTCCTGGACCAACCAGGCTCTGGGCCTCTCCACCTGCTGTTCCTCGTGGTTTGCTTCACCCGGAGACATTCCCTGACCACTGAATGTGTGCACACCCTGAATCTTGGTCAGTCAGTGCCCTCCGCTGCGGCTCCAGCGCCTCGAGCCGTGCCTGACCCAATCTGGGTGCTTGACAACCACCCACTTGTGCGGGGGGTGGGGGGGTGGGGGCGGGCGGGGTGCAAACATCTGCATTCCCAGCAGCAGTGAATGTTCTGGCTTTTAGCCTTGTCTTCATCTCTCCCAGCCCTCATATCTCCTCTCCAAGTCCTTTCTGGCTCTAGGTCTTTGCTTTGGCTGTTCCTTCTCCCTGGTGCTCTCTCTTGGGCTCCTGTCTCATCGATCCAGAACTTCCTGAGATGATGGAAAGGTGTGATATCTATGCTGTCCAAATCTGGGAGCTAATAGCCACATTGGCTTTTGGGCGCTTGCTCTGTGGGTGGTGTGAGTGAGGAACTGAATTTGGAATTGTATTTCATTTTCATACTAGAGACTACTATTGGACCGCACATTCTAGAAACTTTCCTGGACTCAGCCCGATACGAGTCTAAAGCAGGGGCCTCTCTGTAACCTTCCATACTTCCTTTACACCTCTCATCAGTTGGCTGTTATACTCCCGTTTGTGCATCATTCATCCTGCCCATCAGTCTTGGACAGACCATGTATGTTTCCTCAGATGCCTGGCACCCAGCACCAGGCTTGGCACACAGTAGGCTGTCACACGTGTTTGCTAAAAGATCCTGTCTACCTGCCACGCCCATGTTCTGCTCTGACCCTCGCAGCCTGCAGGACAACCACCCTTCCCCAGACCCACAGGACAGAGGGGTTGGGAGCGGGGCTTCCGGAATGAGACAGTCGTAGGTTGAGCTGGGTTCCACCGCGTGCTTGGTAGCTGACCTTGGGCGAGTCACTGAAATTCTATGGCTTAGTTTCCCTGTCCGTGAAAGCAGACGCAGGAACCCTACCTGGCCCGAGCCCCACACCTTGATAAAACTGAGAGTGTGGCAGCTGTGACCGGGACGGTATGGGTCCCTCCCGGGCCCCCCAATTCTGAGCCACCCTCTCCTTTGGCCTCGTAGCGTCTCCCACATTCTCTCCCTGGGTCCTCCTCCCCGCCCCCCGCCGTGGCCAACCACGAGGGACTCAGAGCCCGAGTCTGGGGCCGTGCATGGACGCATGCATGCATGGCCCCACGGGGAGGCAGGGGGAAGGCAGGCCAGCGAGGGGGCGGGTGGGCCGGCAGCTGACCTTGATGGTGTCGTAGGCGCCGGTGATGAGCGCGATGAAGAGGCTGAGCACCATGTAGATGAACAGGCTGATGAAGGAGTACAGGTAGAGCTGGGAGAACAGCCAGACCAGGCTGCTGCGGCCCTGCTGCGCCTGCATCGCCGCGAACGTCACGAACATGTCATCCCCGTTGATGAGCGAGAAGAGGCACTCGGACACCATGGACAGCGAGCGGAACTGCCAGCGGGCAGCGGGGTCGGGGGTCAGAGGGAGTTGTGGGCACGGCTGGGGGCTGGGGTTGGGGGCTTTGTGGGGTCAGAGGGGACGGCGTACAGAGTACCAGTAGTCACGATAGAGCCACTTGGGGGGGGGTCACTGAATAATGACAACGTCATAGAGTCAAGGCTAGGGTCACCGGGGATCAGAGGGGACGGTGGGTAGAACTGCTGCAAACTTGCTGGTAAGGAACCAGGGGTCAAGGTGGGTCATTCAGTGTCACCAAGTCAACGACAGATAGACCAGGAGTCAGGGGGCTCGGGAAGTAAGACGGGGAGCCAGGGATCCCTCATCTGTGGGTCACGAGCGCCACCCACAGGTCCCGGCCAGCCCCTACCTTCACATGGTAGGGCCCCAACACAATCCAGCCGCAGAAGCAATAGCCCAGGTAGATGACGGCCACACAGCAGCAGAAGCGCATGACGCTGGGCAGGGCCACCCGCAGCGTGGCAATGAGGATCTGTGGAGGGGCAGGGGTTGGGGTTGGGGGAGGATGGCGGTGTGTGTCAGCAATGGGGGCGGGACCACAAGCCAGGTGGGCCGTGAGCCTGCGGAGGGGTTGAAGCCTGCCCAAGGGCATGATAGGGTGACCACAGAAACTGGGATGACCATCGACAAGGCAGGGTGGTGCCGAGTAGGCCCGAGGGCACCCCCTGGCTGGACTCAGCTCGGGGGAGGAGTAGGAAAGAGCAGGCTCACGTGATCCCTGCCCAGGTGGAATGACAGGTGTGCCTGGTGTGGGCAGGTACGGGGAAGAGGCCCCTGGCAGGTCATCGGCAGGGGCTGGCCGTGGCAACACGTGTGCGAATTTATCTGGGGGCGGGGGCGGCACTTCAAGGACACGTGGCTGCCCGGGAGGGCCCCGCCTGCAGGTCGGGGGCTTACGTTGTACTTGTGGAAGAAGGTCAGGTAGCGGATGACGCCGACCCAGACAAGCAGCGTCGAGGTGCCCAGGAGGATGCTGCAGACGTCATAGCTTGCCAGGTTCTGGGGGCAGGAGCAGTGTCAACCCCATCCAGCCTGGCCCTTCCCTGGGGATGGGGCCCTGGGCAGGCACCAGCAGGGGTGGGAGAGGGGTCCAGGATCTGGAAGGAGACCCTGGGGCTCGGGGGCAGCGCGTGGGCAGGGCCCACCTTGGCTTCGATGCCAATCTTCATGATGGTGCCTGAGATGGTGAGCACGTCGCTGGTGACCAGCAGGATGTACCAGCCGTTGACAAATTCCAGCCGCTCCCACAGGCTGATGACCTGTCCCCGCTGCCGCCGCATGAACCTGACAAACTCCTGCAGGGGGAGGTGGGCGGGGTGAGGGCTGGTCCCGACATGAGAGGCTCGCCACCCGGGCCTTGACGGTCCCAGAGCTGGGGAAGGCTGGGGGGGGCTCTCACGCTCTGCAGCAGGAAGCCTCGCAGCAGTGAGCGGGCACACAGCAGGAAGGAGAAGGCACAAGTCAGGATCACGACCACGTCAAAGAGGAGCCGGAAGCTGTTGTCCCCTGTGCGGAGGAGCCAAAGGCAGGGCCGGGAGTGAGGCGGCTTCAAGGTGGGTTTGGGTTGGTCATCAGGCTCATGGGTTTCTCTGGGTAAGTCAGGAGTTTGGTCCGTGCTGGTCTGGGGCTTGGGGAATTCCTGGGCAGGTTGGGGCCCCTGGTCAGTGCTAGTCGGGGGCTTGGGGGCTCACCATGGCCGAAGACGCTGGGGTGCTTACACTCCTGGATGTGGGCCTGGGTCTCCAGGCTGATGGGGATACGCCCACTGTGTGCCTTGTTGTCAAATGTGATCTGCAGGGGTGTGGCGGGACGGGACGGGACAGAGTAAACCTCAGCAGACCTAGGCTCCCAGAGGCGCAGGACGGATGGTCTCTCCAGCCCCAGCCTCCCCCATCACCCCCACGCTGCCCTTGGCCGAGGGTCCCCAGCTCTAGGACTCAGAAGTCCCATGCCCACCATGCCACCCCATCACTGGCCGGTCCCTCGCCCCACACCCCAGGCGTTGCGGGCTCACCAGGATGCTGAAGGTGTAGCAGTCTGGGATCTCATTGTTGATCAGGCTCTGGAGGTTGATGGTCTTCAGCTGGAAGTGGATGGTGACGTTGATCAGCCTGGCGGTGGGGGAGGCTTGGGTGAGGGCGAGGGGGCTCTGCCCATCCCTCCTGCCCCGGAGTGCCAGCACTCCTGCCCCACGCTAACTCTGCAGCTGGCAGAGGAAGTGCTCACATGGCAGCATCGGCAGGGCCCGCCCCTGCCCCCGCCTGTGGGGAAGCGGCTGCCCCTCCCACCACCCCCACCCCTGAAGATGCCTGGAGTCCTGCCTCCCCCCTCCTCGGCCCCATTGATGGGGCAGTACTTGTGGAATTTGAGCGTGAGGTTCTTGTAACTGGTGCTGCGATCCAAGAGGGAGAGCTCATCACTGGGGGGCACAGGGGGTCTCTCGGGAGGGTCCACCCGGATACAGTCTGAAGACAGGGAGTCAGGGAAGGGACACTGGGGACAGGGGAGGCACAGGCAGGTCTCCCCAGAGTCCCCAACAGACCCCTTCCCTGCTTTCCTTCCCCCTTCATAATTCGACATTTGTCGTTTGTTCCTGCTGTCTCCCCCCAGGGTCAGGCCTGGTCTGTCTGTCTCACTCCCTACACAGACCCTAGTGCCTGGTGCTCAGTGGGCCCCCAAATGTTTAGGAAATGAATGATAGTGAAACATAACACTCAGCTCTTTCCACGTGCCAAGCATTCTGCTAATCATCAAATTATTAACGATCGTGACCACCCCATCTCCCGGATGGGCAGGACGCAAAGTGGATTTTAAAGAGTTTTTTTTTTTTTTTTGATGTGGACCATTTTTAAAGTCTTTATTCAGTTTGTTACAACACTGCTTCTATGTTTGTTGTTGTTGTTGTTGTTTTTTTCCGGCTGCCAGGCATGCGGGATCTTAGCTCCCTCACCAGGGATCGAAACCGCACCCCCTGCATTGGAAGGCAAAGTCTTAACCACTGGACTGTCAGGGAAGTTCCGTTTCTTTTTTTTTTAATAATCACAATTAAAAAAAAATGTGTTTTTTAAATTGAAGTATAGTTGACCACCCCCACCAGACCTCAAAGAGACTGTATGGAAATACCTCTGAAATCCATTAGTAAAAGGGCCGCAGAAATATTGTGTACGCTTGTGTGTGTGACATGCCTCAGTATTAAAACACAGATCCATATGGCCACTAGCCATTTTATCCAAAGGTAACTACTTACACTTCAAATGATGTTGAGGGTCATTTGTTTTTTAAAGAGTTTTTTTTTTTTTTTGATGTGGACCATTTTTAAAGTCTTTATTCAGTTTGTTACAACACTGCTTCTATGTTTGTTGTTGTTGTTGTTGTTTTTTTCCGGCTGCCAGGCATGCGGGATCTTAGCTCCCTCACCAGGGATCGAAACCGCACCCCCTGCATTGGAAGGCAAAGTCTTAGTCACTGGGCCTCCGGGGAAGTCCCTAAAGTGGGATTTTTTTTTTTTTTTTTTAAATCCAAACAGCTGAGCCCTGCCCGGCCCACTCACCAGTGATGACCATGGGGTCGATGTCAAAGGTGTCATTGGCTGGGTCCACGTGGCCCCGGTGGTAGTAGCACTGGCAGAGGGCCAGGGCCGAGCCATTGGCCCAGGGCCCGCCCCCGCCCCGCACGTAAGCATACCGACCCAGGGACACGTCAGGGAGCATCAGGTACTGTGGGCAAAGCAGGGGAGGGTCAGTGAGCCCCGCCCGTTCTCCCGGGCGGGCCCACCTGCCCACCTGCCCCTGGTTGCCCACACCTGGTCCACGGCGTGGAAGATGGCCTGGTACAGCTGCTCCCGGGTGTAGGCCGCGAACGTGTCATCCGCCCCGTCCGAGTAGCCCAGCAGGAAGAGGTGCCGGAAGGCGACGGTATTCTCCTCTCGGAACGTCACCACCAGCTGGTTGCTGAGCCCAAACAGGATGAGCTGGCGGGAGGGATGGGGAGGATTGGCGCTGCCGGCATGGGGTCTCCCACGGCGCATGAGTGGAGGCACAGTGAAGAGAAGGCCCACCCCATGAGGGCATGACCGCCATACGTCCCCAAGGCGCAGCACAGAGTGGCCACTCATAGAACTCGTGGCAACAACTGATGTTCATGAAATGTTTACTGGATGAATGTTCGAGAGTCAGCACAGCATCACACTGCCAGGGTCCGAGTGCCACCTTCCAAGGTTCAGCTGCTATGTGTCTTTGGACAAGTCCCTTAGCCTCTCTGAGCCTCAGCTGTCCTATCTGTAGAAAGGGGCAAGAGCAGTGGCTAGGACCTCAGAGGGCATCTGTGAAGCTTAAGGGAGCTGCTCCCGTGCAGACCCGAGAGGGCTTCCTGATGGATTAGTGCCACTGTCACTAGCATGATATGGGGCTGTGGAGTCAGGACTAAGCTCTGACTGCAAGATTCTCCTTCGAGGAAAATAGCAACCACAGGTGGCATTCTGTGGTGGGGGTGGGCCCTGAAGGTCTCACCTGCACTGTGACCACCAGGATCTTCACCACCTGCAGCATGAGCTTGAAGGGCTTGCGGCCCTTGGCCCGAAATTTATCACAGGGGCTCATGAAGAAGTATTTGAGACGACGGCGGAGATCCTCCTCTTCTGGAGGGGTGGAAGGGGCTGGGGAAGGCCCCACCTGGGTCCCATACCCAGGTTTGGGTGTCAGGAGGCGCTCAGTCTCTGTGGGATGGGAGAGGGCAGTGGGGACCAGGCCTAGGCAGGTTCACCTGCCAATAGGGGAGGCAGGTCCCAAGCTCCAGCCAAGAAAGAACTCTGAGAGATCTAAGGAAAACCAGAAAATCCGTAACATTTTCGGGATATGTGCAGCAGTGCTGGCTCAGCGGTTTCAAGTCACTCAAAAGGGCCTGAGTTGATTCCTGCCCCCGCTCCAGGGCACTCAGCTTCCCTGAGCCTCAGCTACCTCATCTGCAAAATGGGGCAATAAAATCCCTCACCAAGAAGCTAAGGGTTTGACACTTACAAAGCAACCGGTCTCTGAGTCTCAATTAATTCCTCAATGAATAGAGCCTATTCTATCTTTTTGGTTTGTTTTTTGTTTTTTTTGGCTGTGCCGTGTGGCATGTGGGATCTTAGTTCCCCGAACAGGGATTGAACCGAGCCACAACAGTGAAAGCGCTGAGTCCTAACCACTGGACCCCCAGGGAACTCCTGAATACAGGCTACTCTAAGGACCACTTACTCCTTTCAATCCTGACCAGTCCAAGAGGAAAGCCCAAGTTTTCAGCAACGGCTCGGGTCATAGCTGGTCACAGCAGCCCCGAACTGTTCCTGACACCACCCGCCATCCCCACTGGGAGAACCCCGCTTCCTTCCAGGGTCTGGCTGGCCCCCTGCCTGGCATGGCCACCAGGATGAAATGTAGGCACTGTCAGAACCTGTCCGGCAGGGAGGGCCAGCCCCTGGTCCCTCTGGAGCTCAGATGCTGTCGTGGTTGTTTACAAGATAGTTGGATGGGAAGCCAGAAGAGAGGCTGCCTCCCTGGCTGGGATCACAGCTAATCCATCCCAGACTCTATCAGCCAGGACATCTTTCAGGTGTCTGCATCTAGCTTAAGAAGGGAAAATCAACACAAAGGGCATTCCTCCATGCTGCCCTGTGAGAGGCGACTGAGCGTCTTTGTGTTTGGAGATCTGAAATTGAGTTAGGCGCCTGCGCTTAAGGTGGCATCCCCGCCCCCAGCACTCCTGCCTAAGTTTAGAGAAGCTGAACATTTGCCTCCTGGTTTGTGGAAGGAAAGCCTGGGAATCTGACGTGCGGGTTGGAGAAGCTGGGGCCCGCTGTCGGAGTTCCAGCAAAGCTGAGCAATCCGAATCTAGGCTCAGAATGCAAATCCTGGGACCCTCGCCGCCTGAGTCGGAAAAGCTGGCGATCCGCCAGCTGCCTGAATCTGAGGAAGGGCGGTCGGAGTCCCGCCACTCCGAGGTCGGAGAAGCTGATGCCCACCCGCCGCCCAGGTTCTAGGAGCCGTCTGCCCATATCTACGGCAAGGGGATGCTGAGAGGTCAGCACCAGAGTTGAGGAAAGGGAAACCGGGAGCTCCGCCGCCCCAGGTCGGAGAAGCCGCCCGCCCGTCCGCCGCAAGCGTCCTGGGACTTGCGGGGCCTCCCGCGCCCTCACCTGAGCCGCGCGGGCCTACGGGCACTGCCATGCCGGGGAGGGGAGCGCCGAACGCCGGCGGGCGCGGCGGTGCAACCGGCGTTTAAACACCCGCTGCTGTCACTGCGGCCTCGCTCCCTCGCGGTGTAGCTTCAAACCCTCCCGCGTCAGCTGACTCGAGCCCCAGTCACGTGACCAGCGCGGCCCTGGAGGCAGGTGACGGGATCCGGTCCCTCCCCCTGCGCCACGACGACCCCCCCCTACCCGAGCAGCACGCATGCGTGCCTCAGCTGGCGACTTGCCCTTAGGCGGTCCCAAGGTCCTAGCGCCGACGGGCGGAAATGTGCTGGGGGATGGGCTGGCTGCTGGCTCAGTCCTGGCTCCCTCATGCCCCCGTCCAGTGCTAACCTCTTGACTTCCACGTCCAGTGTTTGACCCCTTTCCCTCCGCGGTGTCGGATGATGATCCTATCTCAAGGCTGCCCCGCTCCATCCTCCCAGAAACTCTGCGTTACTCTCAATCCCCTCTCATCCGAACTGTCATGAAATCCTACTTCATTTCCTAATTACATCGCAAATAGGACCACTCTTCCCCACTCCTATGGCTATAAACCCATAGTCCCCCAACATTCCCTATGGCCTGGACCACTGCAACAACCTCCCTGATCTTGGGCTCCCATTCCGGATCCCCTCCATTCCACTCGCTATCCAGCAGCCAGAAGCATCTTCAAAAAATAATTCATATCAGTCAGAACCTGCTGGTAGCTTCCCATTTCTCTGGGATGACAAGCAAACTCCCCACTTCAGTCTACCAGGGCCTTCTGTTCTGGCCCCACCTAACTCCTCCCCTAGCTCATCTCTCAACGGCCCCAGGGCCTTTGCACAGTCTTGCCCTAGAGCATAAAGGTTAAGAACTTAGGCTCTGGAGGGCAGACAATTTGGGTTTAAATCTGGCCGCTCCCAACCACCACTTCTGGGTCTTCCAAAAAGTCCCTTAAACTCCATGTGCCTCAGCGTCCTCATTTGCAAAATGGGAATATTCATAGTTACCTGCCTCATGGAGCTGCTGAGAATTAAATGAGAAAATGCTAGAGCATAGCACAAGCCTGGGCAAACAGTACTGATGATTAAATTAGACGTTATTGGGATTATAAAGTCCTTCCTTGGGAAGGCTGTCTGCCATCTAAGTCAGAAGTCTTGTGATGCTTCTTGTTGAATGTACCATACTCTGTTAATTACTTTTTAAATGTTTCTAAACTTGGTCTCTGAGCTCTGTGAGGGCCAAGGCCATACTTATCTTGTTCCCTGCTGAGACCCAAGCAATCAACAGATGTTTGTTGAATGCATAAATGAGTGACCTCCTTTGTCCTGTGGTGTACCTGCAATGTGGGCTTTGAAGGGCAAGGGGTAAGAGGAGAGCAGACGGGGCAGGGCCGCCCACATGGTTTCATATCAGCCTCTACCATCAGCCTGCTAGACGGTCAACATGCCAGAAATCCCACCATTCCTGGGAAAGCCAACTCCAAAAGGAAGGGAGTTAGATCACCCACAGGATAAGTCTGCCCCTGACTGGGGTGGCCAGGTCTGGGGGAGCAGGGAGTGGCAACTGCTGGGATGGACCAGTGTGAGACCTTGTGGGGGAAGCTAGGAAGCCTGGAGGATATTGTGGGAGGAGCCAGGACATTGACATTCTATTTGTATGTTTGGCTCTGGCCATACCCTCCCATCTCCAGAAGAAGAGGTTGTGCATCAGAGGAAAAACAGCAACAGGAGAACCACAACACAGAGCCAGGAGGCAGTGGGAGGATTTTACTAACTGCACAACACACAACTTTCCCAGGCCCCTGTGGGTGCCAGCCTGCCCTTCAGCCATCAGGCCCCAGCAGTGCCCCTTGCTCCTGCACCCACTCGGGGCTCTCGCCGGTAGGGAGGACTGCGCTGACAGTGTCATGGGTGGCAGAGCCGGGCTCAGGGTGGGACTCAGAGCTGGGGTCAGGGCTGGGCACGGGATCCGGGTCGGGGCTGGAACCAGATCTGTGATCAGGGCTGGCCACAAGGTTGGAATTGGCATTGTGCCCAGGCTCAGGGTCAGAAGATTTGACAGAATCAGGGGTAGGGGTAGATCCAGAGCCAGGGATGGGTTTGGGGCTGGGATTGGGTGGGGAGCCCAGCGCAGAGCCAGGGTCAGGGTCAAGGCCAGAGCTGGGGCCGGGGCTGAGGCCCAGGCCTGAACCCAGCACAGAGACCGCATCAGGACTCAGAAGGGAGACCTGCCCCGGCCTCAACATCGAAACGGGGCTGAGGCCCAAACCGGCGGCGGCCGCAGCAGCTGCAGCGGCTGCGCCCTCATGCACCCGCTTGTGCTTGGTGAGGCTGGAGGCTTGGCCGAAGGCCTTGCCGCAGAGCTGGCAGCGGTAGGGGCGCTCGCCCGAATGCACGTGCAGGTGTTGCAGCAGCGCCGAACTCTGCCCAAAGGCCTTGGAGCAGTGGGGGCAGGCGTAGGGCCGCTCGCCGGTGTGGATGCGCAGGTGATGCTGCAGGTTGGAACTCTGGCCGAAGGCCTTGCCGCAGTGGGGACAGCGGTAGGGGCGCTCGGCCGTGTGTGTGCGCTGGTGCTGCAGCAGCGCGGAGCTCTGGCCGAAGGCCTTGCCGCACTGCGGGCACGGGTACGGCCGCTCACCCGTGTGCGTGCGCAGGTGCTTCAGCAGCGCCGAGCCCTGCCCGAAGCCCTTGGCGCACACCGGGCACTTGTGCGGCCGCGGGCCGCCGTGCGTGCGCAGGTGCTGCGCCAGCAGCGAACCGTGCCCGAAGGCTTTGCCACACACGGGGCAGTGGTGCGGCTTCTCGCCGCTGTGGCTGCTGCGGTGCTTGAGCAGCGTGGAGCGCCAGCCAAAGGCCTTGCCGCACGCCGCGCACTGGTAGGGCCGCGCGCCCGTGTGGATGCCGCGGTGCTGGGCCAGCGTGGCGCCGTGGCTGAACGACTTGCCGCAGTCGGGGCAGCGGTAAGGCTTCTCGCCGCTGTGGGTGCGGCGGTGCTGGCTCAGACCCGAGCTGCGGCGGAAGGCTCGCCCGCAATCCGGGCAGGAGAAGGGCCGGGGCGGGCTGGCAGGTGCAGGGAGCACCGCGGGGCCGGCGGCCAGGACCTCGGGGGTAGCAGTGAGGTCGGACGAGAGGGGGTCCAGGTCTGGGGTGGCAGCGGGACTGAGGGTGTCGCTGTTAGGGTCGAGAACCAGGGGGACGGGGCCGATGATGTCTGGGTCATCAAAACTTGAAGACATGGGGTCGAGATCTTGGGGATCCGAGTCACGGATCCCCGAGATGGAGCTCGGAGCTTCCACATCGGGATCCAGATCCTCGGAGACAGGCTCCAGATCTTCATAGCTGGGGTCCACATCTTCAGAGACAGTGTTGAGGTCTTCCGGCTCAGGCTCTGGGTTTTCAGAAACTGGGTCCAGCTCTTCCCTCTTGGGGTCTAGGTCTTCTGAGTCGGAGTCAAGCTCTTCATAATTGGGCCTCGGGCCTATGTGGCCTGGGTTCCTGACTAGGACCGAACGCCGCATCCCGGGTGTGGAAGTGCTGGCTGCTTCCGGGGCAGGATCTACGGGGTGAGGGCAGAAGGTGAGTGGAGGTAGGTTCTGGGGAACCGGGGGGTCTCTTTTGGAGCCTGAGCAGGGAAGGGAGAGGGGGCCAGACCATGCCCCAGATCCCACTCCAGGGCACACACACAGATCATTCTCTTGTCTTGTACTGCAGGGAGGTTTTGCACTCGCCCCCGCCAGGGCAGGGGGAAGAGGGACCCTGGTGGGACATGGGGAGGGGGGGACTCCCTTCTCAGCCCCACACCTGGATAGAAGTCGTGGGACCCAGCACTAGAGGTCTCCAGTGCCCAGCTCCATGGCTCTGCCCCTCTCTCCATCCTGGGCTCCTCCTCTGGTGGGCAGCTTGGGTCCTGTGGAGGAGAGAGAGTCTAGATACCTATCCCCTTGACCATGGCCCCTTCATGGGGAAGGGGGGGGGGTGTCTGGGTTCTCGTGCTTTCTGCTAAGTACATGGCCTGAATTCCAGTCCTATAGTTGGGGGTGGCATGTTTGGGGGTTCCTAGTAGGGAGGGCGACCCCTGGCTCACCTCCTAGAGAAGAAGCATCCTGACCCCTGAAGCCTCTATCTGGGGGAAAAGTGGGGCGGGGGCGAACAACAACTGGTACTCCTCACTGGGGGAGCGCAGAAAGACCCCTGGCTTGCTTCCCGGGGAAGAGACAATGTGAATCCCAAACCTGACTGAGTCCAAACATCTGTATTCTATCTTAGATAGAAGATCCTGAATGCAGATTTCTAAAGCTAGAGCGAGTGTGGGGATATAATATGTGGGACCCCTGAAGGGAGCAGGGAGACCCATGGATCCATTAGCCAGGAGGGTAGGGACAGGTGTCAGTGTACCTGTTTGCCCAAGTAGATAGAAGATCCTGAATTCTAACCCCTAGCTGGGGTGGGCAGAATAATACCTGGGGCTCCTCTTGGGTTACTGGAGGGACCCTGGGCCGTCTCCTAGGAAGGGGAGATTCCTGAGTGACTGACCCCACAACTGACGTACGGGAATGGGTGTCAGGAACTCTGGTCCCCTCCTGGAAGAAAGATCCATGGCTAGAGGTAGGGAGCGGGGCAGAGAAACAAGCTGGGATCCTTTCAGGGGAGCAGGAGGAAATCAGGATGAAGGGGAGGTGATGCCCACCACATGGCTAGGCCTCGGGGAGAAAACAACAAATAGATCCATTCCTCAGAGACAGGGGAGGACCTTTGGCTCTCCTTCTGGGGAGGGGGACCTCCGGAGCCACAACCCCAGAGCTGGGAGTGGGTACGCAAACAGAGAGGGCTGAATTCCTAGTTCACCTCCTTAAATTCCACGATGGAGGGTCAGGGGACAGTGCTGAGTCCCCTCCTGGATTCCCAGGGGGCAGGGGGACCCTTAGATTCGCTCCTGAATTCCCATCTCTGAGCTGCACGCTGGGAGGAGAAATAACTGGGATCCTTCTCTGAGTTCCTGGGGGGCAGGTGGAACCCTGGATCACCTCCTGGGGAAGGGGCTTCCAGAACTCTGGACCCCAAGACTGGAGAGTGAGGGGAACAATAACCGGGGTCCTGGGGGAGGGAGGGAACCCCTGGATCCCCCTCTTGAAGATGGGCCTCCTGAACTCCCTACCCCAGGCTGAAGGGTGAGGAGAACAATACCTGGGGCCACTTCTGGGTTCCTGGGGTGGGGGGTCTGGAGCGCCTCCAGGGGAGGCGGGCGTCCTGGACTCCCGCCCCCACCCCAACTGAGGGGTTCTCCCCCCACCCCCATACCTCCCGATTGACGGCGCCCAGCTCGGGCCGGGCCCTCCTCCGGGGCCGTAGCGGAGGAACCGGCGCGCTAGGCCCGCGGGTCGCGCGGCCCCCTCCCATCGCGCCGGCGTCTCTTCTCTCCCGGGCCGGGGCTGGCGGCGCGCGAGGCGAGGGAGCGGGGTGGACAGAGGTCGCCCAGGGCCGCGCCCCGCGCCGGGGCCCCCTGCCCGCCCGCCCCCCTCACCCCCGCCCC